GAGCTTTATCTTGGAAAATATCAAAGCGTTGTTGTTCATCGGTCTAGGTGCCAGAGATGTCATTAATTTGAGGTTTATCGGTGTGCAAAATAGAATTTTACATTAAGTAAGGAACTTGATTTTTTATATGCTATAAAAGTATCTTTACAGTTATAGGTGGCCAAGGAGCACTGAGAAGAAATTTGCTGCAGTGGTGAGGCGTGAATGCTCGATTATCGATATTTCCCCATTTGAAGTTATGCTACACAATCGATTATTGAGGTGCTCGTTGCAAACACCCTATTTATCGATCGTTTTCCATAGCTTTAATTGGCAGATAGATCGATGTGGCGCACAGCACGCCACGCCACCGACTTGCTGGTGTATGAGCAGATAACTAGATCATTTCTCTTGGTGCCTCTTAATAAAGACGCTTCTCTGCCGGTGGGCTAATTGGGAATTTGACGCTTGGTTCAGCACGATCGGACCGTTTTATTAATGTTATTATCTCGTCATATTTTTCGGTAGTTTTCTTCTCGGCTCAACTCATTGGAACGAGGCTTTGCATTCGTGCAGCAGAAGGAGAGGCCCTCTTTCGCCGTTCCAGCACGCTTGAAAATTCAAACTTGAGAGTGCATAACATGACCACTCATCAACATTTCACGCGAGAGACGATGCGTGCATTTAAAAGTCGCTTCTGCCGCGGGAGAATAAGGAAACCAAGCGTTATAATTAATTACTATGCAGTCAGCATGCGCCTTCAGTGATACAGCGTTATCGGAAGCTACTGGTAATCGGAGGCGTTTTCTTGCTGAAAATTTAAAGGAGGCATAATTTACGCAAAGGAGATGCACTGCCGTGCTATAGAAAAACGCCGTATAAGCCTTCAGACGTCGGTAAGTTTCCTCCGATAAAAACCGAATTTACCGGGAAAATTGCGAATATAATTTTCCAAAAGTTTCGGACAATTTTGTGCGCAATTTATTCTAAAATATCTGAAAATTTCAAGGAAAAATATGCATGAATGTTGTCAAAAATATATCTCGCATACTCTTCAGTGAATTCATTAAAACAACAGAAATCTGCACTCAGAATGAACATTTGGACCATATTTGGACCACATTTTGCAATAAGAAACCACTATTTCTGGCTCTCCCATAAAAGCACGTATCTGCATAGGGAAACCAATGGCATGTATGTTGTTTCTAAAATGGGCCAGAAATAGTGGTTCCTTATTGCAAAATGTAATCCATTTGTATACAAATCGTTTCTTTACAGTCCAATAATATTTTAGGGAGCATCGTCTGAGTCTCACGCACAGAGAATGACGATGATTCATTCATTTTCGAAAACGGATCTGTTAATTAACACCATCATGCATGCCAGGTCTGCAAACATAATTTCTCCTGCACCGGTGTTTTAACGTTGCCGGCTTGACGGTGAAAAATAAGGTGCCTCGTTTCAGCTTCGATGCAAAAGGAAGTAGCAACTGAATTGGAATCCTACAGTTGCCAGTGATTGATTGAACCATCTTTCATCCTATGCGGAATCTATAGTTCTATGGGGTCAGGACTTAGAGGCTCGATTGCAGAGGTAACTTAAACTGAAATTTAGTGAGTAAACACGGCAAAAATTCAATTTTTGGTTTATATGTTAAAACTTACTCACTTTCAGTCACCAGTTTTAAAAAAGGAGCGCATTTCCATAAATTATGGCTGCCAAATATTTACTTCTAGTCAACTCTGCAACCAAATTATCTTAATTATACCGACTTCAGGTTTCCAACTCAATTAAATTTTTAGTTTAAACAGGGTTGGATAGAGCGAACTGGATTTGGTAGATGATGTCGTAGTAAAAATTGCTCTGCAACTGTGAATGAAGCTCTTCCGCAAAAACCCTTTCTTTTTCATGAAAGATTTTTTAAAGCAAAATGCGTTAAATTCATCCGAACAGAAATGTGCAATATTTTTCAAGCACACATACTTCAGTACAGATACTTTTGAAACGAATTAAGTCACAAAGGTGAAAGTCCCTTTAATAATTTCTCTTTAAAAATGCGACTGCAAAAGTTCACCGATATTCACTCCGCTGGGATATCTCTTCAAGACCGGAGATTTTATTTCCAGGATCTAGATAACAAGCACTATAGAGATTTCAATATATGTTTGTAAGAGAATTTAATTGCGTATAGCAAGCATTATATTCATGTGCCAGAGTATCCCTTCTCTACAGTTATTGTGATATAACATAGTAGTCTGGATGCATTATTGCGGGTTTACACCCTTCCTTTAGCTTAGGTATCGGAATATAAGAACCAAAAACCCATTCATGATTGAACTTATTGTCTAAATAACTGATTTCAACATTGCTCGAATAATTGATTCCTTGGCACGCGCGCTGGTGAAATCAGGTCAAAAACGAAGCTGGATCCCAAATGGAAAACATTCAAAAAGTTGAGTAAGATTATGATCATTGATCAGAACTTGCGCGTTAATCTGTGATTTCGTTTTTAAGGACAAAAACTTCACAGATACGGATTTGAATATTGATGGGCTGTTAGGCATTGAACTCTCATCTTCAATCGTGCATTTGTACACCGATGAAGATTTGGAGAGCATGCTTGAGAAAAATACACTGTACTAATTATTGAGGGTATGCTATGGGACCATTTGCGCTGTTGTCAGCAAACACCTATAAACCCCCAATAGTGTGTAAAGTAAAATCTGATTTAGATTTTGAGAGCTTTTCACATTGAGTCGATTTAGTTGGAAAAACATGAAATTCATACGATACAAATTTTTCAAAACCTAGTCAGGCAGGACGAGCCATATGCTATTCAACGCGATATCAATGAAGGACCTCAGAGCTACACCCCCCTCCCTTCGGGGTTAAAAGGCCTTCACACCCACGAAACGAGTCAGAGCAAATTCCAACAGGAGGAATCCATCTTTCACCTTGTTGCCAAATTCAAGCAAGATTTTCTCATACGTCTTGGAATGCGTGCAATTCGGAGTCCTAAAAGAATTACTAAAACGAAATCCATCGGACTCGGAGGGATCACAAATAAAGTAGCATGCTGATATATCGTGCTGAAAGTCCAAGTTATATCCGTTCCTATTCATAATTTTTTGAATATTGAAATACTGACAGGTGCCATCTTATAATACATTGCATATCACTTGTTCACTTTAGATAGGACATACTTGTTCTCTGTTTAGTATGTCATCCCGAAATTGAAAATTTACACCCTATTAAAAGAAGAGATACTCATCCTCAGGAGCAAGATCTTAAAAGTGCAAACAGTTGGACGTAGAAAATTTCAGCTTCTTCATATCCTAATTTTCTTTAGAAAAGAAGAGATAAGTTAACACGGAAACAAAAGTGTAGGGGTTATCCCCTAAAATTGAGGGAACATCTCAATTTGTTGGATGGAATGGACATTTCCATTTAATTTTGGTTGTACCGAATCTCAAGTTGGGGCAGTATCGCAACATTTGGGTTAGTACCGCAACATTCAGGTTAGTAACCTAGTTCATTGGGGTACTACCACGCCATTAATGGGGTACTACCACAATTAAGTGAAAATTCCCAAATCATCCAAAAACTTCTTCTTCTCTTTTTTCGCGAGAGAAAACCCGTGTAAGAGCAATAAATTATCCATTAAGCCGAGTAAAATAACACTCAATAGGGAAAAGATGGAATACAATTACACTTTTAGGATGTTAAAAATTACTTACCATCTACAATAATTAGGGATATGATGCAATTTGATGAATAACAACAAAGGAACTTTTACTATCTAAGCTTGATTTTACAGAAATTATAATGTTTTAGTTACTGGAGAAGGAGGTACATTTTTGCATCGATCGGTCGATTGATACATCTCGCAAAAGACAGCAATCTCTTCTTCACGCGAACTGATCAAAAATGCCGGAATAAGAGAGAGAGATGCTTCGGAAAGTTGAGCCGGCAACACCGAACGAATCTCCAACATTGGAGAATCGCTTTTTGCGGGGAACTTTCTTTTCCTTTTGTATCGCCAAGAGAACGGGGCCAATGGAATCAGAATTTATTGCCGAACTTTTCCGCCAAGTTCTGGTTTTATTCTCCTCTTCATTGTCTCATTTTTACGGACTTAATTTAATACTTAAAATTTAAGATCGCAACTTCAATGGAAGTAGAAATAACACTTCTTGCATATGTTAAAATCATAAAACTATCGATGAAAAAGTTTCTGATCAAGACAAGTCAATCAACAAAGAAGGAGATGATAAATATTTTTTTCAAACATAACTCAACAAAATTTCGGGACAAAATTGATTTGGATGGACAAGACTAGCAAAACAACTTTAAGGAAGTGATCCTCATGTGCTGTCAAAAGTTTCAATTTCCTCACGGTCCTTTCATTCAATAATATTTACGATGATGAAATTTATGGACCGTGACCTCCAATGAGATCTTTCCTCTTTAAAATATAGGATTTGAACAAATTCACAGCGAATTTTCAATAACAACATAAAAAAAAAAAAAAAAAAAAAAAAAAAAAAAACACGCACAAGCCCAAGTTCTGAAAAACATAGATTCGGTACATAGTTCAAATATTTTATTTTAGCCTATTGATCACAACAGTATAAAAAATGCATAGGTAGTTTATGGTAGAACGTAGTTTGAAAAAAAAATTATAGGACCTAATCAGCGACTTTAAAGTATAATGATTCCCTTCTGGATAAGAAATGAATAATTTTAACGCATGGAAAAAAATCTAAAACTTTGAATCAAATTACTCTTACGCAGCTGAAGAACTTTAACTCATCAAAAAGATAGAAAAAAAAGCTCTAGGAGCTTAAACTTCCAAGCCGGTATCACACATGTGCACTTTTAAATTTTGAAAATACGAAGGAGCCCAGGTTAAACTTAAATTATAGGCCCAACAGACACATAGGAAACACCACCAGGAGGACCAGAGCTCCTCAAAAAACCCCAAAGCGCCAAACACCAGGGAAAAATTTCTAGGAACGTACCTGCGTTTAGGTTAAAACCACTGGTCACAAAGCGAACTGACACTATGAAATAACATGAAAGAACGTTGCCATGAACTTGGCTATATATATAATGACCTACTTTTCGAGGCACCTGAGAGGGGGTCTACCCATCCCAGTCGCGGCATCTTGTAGTTGCTCTCTTAACCGATGGCTGCGCTGGGATGCCTCTTCACGTCTTCGACGGTGCCACTCCGGTGCTGTCGATTTTTAGGTGGGAAATTGACTTTTTTGACGGGAGAGATATTCATTTTCTAGAAATCTCTGTGTTACTGGTTGGTAAAATACTCTCAACGTGCAGGATTTTAACGCGAGTCTCGAAATTAAGTTTTGAAAATGACGTTTGAAACGTTGTGAGATTACCTACCTATACCTACACATATTTTCTCGATATCAATGGCTAAAGGCGAAACCATTTATCTCTGTCTGCGATGGTGCAGACTTCCTATCATCCTTTCTTTTTCTTTTAATAATTATAGTAAACGCAATTTCTTGAAAAAATCCTTTATTCTTCTGCTCTGTTAATAGAATATTCTGTAAAAATTTCAAGCTATAAAGTTGCCTGGTTTCTCTTTGAAAAAGTTGAATAGGAGTGAACATTCTGAAACACCGCAATGGGGATAAATGGTTTCGCACTTTGGCCAACGAAATGAACCACAAGACATGTTTTCTTGTCAAAATATCACGCAAAACAAGTTGAACATATCAAAAACTTCTGAAATTCACTCAAAAAGAGGACACTAAACATTTTGGCTCACATTCTAAACAGTAGGTAAATTCTAACTCCTCACCAGCGAAAACCCCATAATTATCAACGGCCGAATCAATCATTGAAAAAATCCATTTGTTAAGTAAATAACTGAAACTTGGTTTTTACACATTTCCTTTCTCCTCTGGTAGGTACGAAACACTTCTAGTCTTCTCAAAAAAAAGGGCGGTCAGCACGCAGGATTATTCTTCCATCGTGAATTATACCGCAAGTATGTATAGTGCTCGATTTCACGTGAGTAAATTTTGGTTTTTCCTTGAGTAGGTAATAAGAATTATTTTATACCAAAACCCCAATTCTCCCAAACCCCCCCTCTGATGATTTGAATCCAGAAATTTCTGAATTAAATTGAAATTTAAATAGTTTAAATATTTTAAATTAATATGCATTAAAACTTAAGTTTCGCACATCGTACGATCTAACCTAACCATTTTGATGAGGAATAATCAATTGCACCGTCCCTGATTTTGAACTCTATCTATTGGTCTATTGGTAATTTTTTTGCATAATGTCGTGCATTCCGCACATTTTGCATTGCTTGATTTGTTTGTATACTTGCCCCTAAACTTGAAACTTTACATCAAAACTTCTTAGCATAACACTTACGGAGATAGTGCAAACAAGTGTGATTAAACAATTACCGGAGCTTGGGGGTGCAGCCTTTGTCGTTTCTCCTGGGTAATTTTCGTATTGTCGTGTTGTTTTTCAGGGTTATCCACGTGAAAAAGAATCCGGAAATATTATTGTGAACTAACTGTAAGTAATCTCTTTGCCTTTCAAGAATACAAGCATTAAAAATTACTGAACGACCTCATATTGACCATATATTCAAGAATAGAGTAAGTAGCAAAGGAAAAGAGACTTCTTTTTTTGCAATTTAAAAACGGAGAAAAAGCAGTGACAAAGAAAAAAAAATGTAAGATTTAAAACGAACTTTCTAAAACGAAACTAGCTTCTAAAGCACAAATTTAAAATTAATTTCATCGATTTGATGAGTGTTTCTTTACGCCGTATAGGTCAGTTGATTATAAAATGCTTAGTCTTTTGAAAGTTTTAAGTTTTTGACAAGACAAGAATATTGTAAGGTGATTTTAAAATACTTTTCCTGCAATAATGATCCGGTTTGGTTTCTTTTAAAAGCCCTCGTCATATAGTTACAATTTATCGTCGATTTTGGCACATAAAATTTGGTGAGGCGAATATTAAAGAGTGTTTACGATCGATGTCCATTTACTTTTAACTAGTCCAGCGACCTGCAAGGACTTTGCATGTCATGTCGCTTTGCACGCCGCGCCAGGGGACCAATGACGTGACAGGATGACACAGATTACACGGTTTAAAAATAAGCCGAGGAAGAGGCAGAGGGTAAAAGAAGAAGGAAAAGAGTGGCAAGAGTAACAGAACAAGATCGTAACGGTATGGAAGTGGTCGCGCTAATGCGGAGGTCCGAATCTGATTTTGAATCAATTACGCCTGCATGCGTAATGGGTGTATTACGGGGATGGAATGTCACTGCCCTGTGAAAAGGGAAATTATGGTGGACACCATGAGAATTGCATGTCGTTTAAAATCATACGGACGTTTTTGCATTTTTGGAGTTTCGACTTTAGGTTGGACTACATTTTGCGGTTTGGAACTATAAATTCTGGCCCGGTTTAAAAACAACGTATTTGCCACTAGTTTCCCTATACACATAAGTGTTTTTCCAGAAGAGCCAGAATTTTTAGTTCCAATTACAAAATGCAGTCCGATTAAAAGTCAAAGAAAAAAAAATGTGTACCTTCATTGAGAAGTTTCAAGATTTCTATAATTACTTAGTATTTTCTTGAATGGAGACGAACACAAAGAGAAATACTCTAAGAAAAATTCAAATAAAACTGATGGTAAAGTTTCTTTAAAAAAATAATAAAACATAATGTAAAAATAAACAATAAAAATTTTGTTTACAAAAATGAAAAGTAGAAGTTAAGACTTATCAGGCTCTGAATCACAGTATGCAAATTCTCAATAAAGAAAAAAAATAATTAACCGAAGGAAGTATATAAGTGAAGATTAGAAATGTTGCAAAAAGATATAATTACACTTTTTACCTTCAGCAGCTCAGCTATCAATTTTTTGCAATAGTTTCCAACTGCTGATTCCTTTATTTATTTGAATTTTACTTTCTTTCTAGTTCACACACTAACACTGGAATATGATAGAACTGAACTGGAATGTGTATCTAGTTGCAAGTGATAGATACAATAGCCGCCTATTCGTTCGAACTTTTGATTCATTGCTAAAGGTTCGATGCCTATAACTCGCGCTCGTGAATATAAGTATGCAAACTTACGATACTGGATAAGTACTATACACATTAAAGAAAGTCCGATAGAGAAAAGCAGGGAGTTTATAAGGTTTCACGTAATTTGCTACCAGGTAGAGGTAGATTCTCTCCTGCTCTGGGGATGCTTATTCAGGAAACCAATATATACACGCATAGAAACCCATGTGTATGCTACCAATGAGGCTTTGCTCAGTTTTGGGAGAAAAGTAAAAAAAAAACAATGCTCGATTACGTCTCTCCTGTCTTCGGCTGTGTTGTTCACGTAGCCTTGAAGCATCACTACAAATGCCATACTGAAAAAAACACAACATGGAAACATTGCGAGTGAAAGGACGGGCGTTGATGACGGCGCAGAGATACAACTATTCATGCTTGATGGATGTCCGTGTTGCATCCACAAAATTGAAGGCGTTTCGGCTCGAGATTTGACCTCTAAATGTTTCTACTCTACAAATGATGGTAGATGCATGGTTCCAAAGGAAGTTCTGGGAAATAGTAAAAAATTGGTTCGTCTCAGCAGCAATTTTAAGCTGTTTGCCAACAAATGTATCGAATTAAAATTTTAAAGATGAATGGTATGTCATGCATTATGCACTTAGGTGGCAAAATCCCTTAAATTCCTTAGGAGGGGACCAAGTTGATTTCTAAGGGAGAAGCCTCCTAATTCCAATCATGAACAGACCCCTTAGTGCTTAATGGTCCTGTACTGCCATGCTAGGAAAGATCGTCGTATGAGCCTTCGGACGTTGCCGAATTGCCCTCGATAAAAACCGAATTTACTGGGGAAATTGTCAATATTTTTCCTCGAAATGAAAATTCCGCACGCAATTTAACCTAAAACATCTGAAAATTTCGAGGAAAACTATGCTTAATATGCGTCAAAATACTTTATTTATCGAGAGAAATTTGGCAACTCTCGAATGTTCATACGTCGTTCTTCCGCAGCACGGCAAAGTAGTACAGGTACCATTCTTTCTCATCGGATTTCTATACCTAATGTACTTTATGTTCAATCCATGGAAAGGAACCAAAGGGACCTTGATTAACTTTGGCTTTCGCCGCGAACTCTGCCGACTAAATCTCTAGCCGGCCCGGGCCCTCGATTTCCAACAAACTTGGCTCCATTTCGCTGAACTCAGCCTAAGTGTCATTTTCTCTTATGAGAGGGCAACCGCAAGCTACATTACTCTATACAGGGTGATCCAAAAGTCCCTTCCACCCCCTCTAACTTTTTACCTAATTGAGGTAAAGATTTGAAACTTGGGGGATATTCCTAGGTCAAAGGGAGCTACTTTTTGGCCCCCCTAAAATTTTCAGGGGGGCCCCCCTTGGAGGGGCAATGGCCCCCAACTTTTAATTTTCAAATGGGAAGACCCCCTTTGTGATAGNTTTATGTTCAATCCATAGAGAGGAACCAAAGGGACCTTGATTAACTTCGGCTTTCGCCGAGAACTCTGCCGACTAAATCTCTAGCCGGCCCGGGCCCTCGATTTCCAACAAACTTGGCTCCATTTCGCTGAACTCAGCCTAAGTGTCATTTTCTCTTATGAGAGGGCAACCGCAAGCTACATTGTAATATAAATGCGTCATAATGGAGCGACGCGACGCGCGACGTCTGGTCACTGGCCTTTCTTGCGCCAAGGGCCGCACTGCCGTGCTGAGGAAAAACGCCGTATGAGCCTTCAGACGTTGCCACATCTCCTCCAATAAAAACCAAATTTCTCCGAAAAAGTGTGATTATTTTTCTTCAAATGTCCCTGATAATTTTATTCGCATTATATAATAAAAAATGGCTAAAAATGTGAATGAAAGATTCGCATAATAATCTTCAAAAATGCATGCTTTATCCGGGGCAATTTGGCAACTCTCGAAAGTTCATACGGCGTTCTTCCTTAGCACGGCGGCGTACTCCACTGATCTGGCTGTAATTAGGGAGAAATCTCCCCCTCCCCCTTGCA